TGGATAAGCATCCGGTAAGCAGTAGGTGCGGAACAGAAAGTCGTTATGGGAAACCTGGACAAGGTCTAGATGATTATAGAAGGTGGAAAGTTTAACAAAACAAAATCACACACTGCACTGAGCCCCAGATACGTATAGACCATCACGTTCAATGAAAAAGAAGAGAGACATTGCGTAACCCTTTCAGCAGAAGTCAGAGGTAGTGGTGGAAAGTGCCATGGAGTCCCAGCCAACTTCTCTCCGGACACAATAAGATCTGTGCGTTGCTAGTGGAGGAAGCGCGGAATCTGGGATGGAAACTTTACCATGAGCCACATTTAAGGACTAGGAATAACTTATTAAGGAAGCCTATATCTATTGAGTACAGCAAGGCCCTCCGTGACACCAACTTTGCAAACCAAATTCTCCTTGTTGGGCATATGCCCAATTTCCGTAGTAGGCAATTATTGACGGAACACCATTTTCCCCTGGCACCCACGGGGAATCCATAGAACTCAACCTCCTGTGCGCCAGTCAGATGTCGTATTTGTTCCTTCGGTCCAGAATAGTAAAGGACTTCTTTAGCTGCCCGAGTCAAGCCATTTTTAAGATATTCCTAGCGAATGGTTACATCTACAACCAATGCCCTCCCTTCCCTGACGAAAACTAAATCCGGCTTCCTTAATAAATTATTCCTAGTCCTTAAATGTGGCTCATGGTAAATTTTCCATCCCAGGCTCCACGCTTCCTCCACTAGCAACGCACAGATCTTATTGTGCCTGGAGATTCGCATCCTCTGCACACTTGGGCATTGTCCCAAGATGTGCGACAGCGACTCCACCTTTGCCTCACAATGCCTACATTTCCTAACAGCGCTTTGTCCTCCTCTTGCACAATATTCCCTAGTTGGAACCACATTCGCCCTCATCTTCAAGGTGCCTACATGAAAAGTCCCTCCTATCTCTTAACCACGAATTACTGATGTCATCATTCCCAAATAGCTGGACACCACTGCCCTGACAAACAAGTAATGTCCATCTCTCAAATTCCTCATCCCGATAATCTCTCAATCTACCAAACCAACTTTCACTGCTTTCCACGTGATCTTCTCTCGATTTCAAGAGCTCCGGAACCTCATCCAACAATCCTCCCAGCTTTGACCAGAGTCTCTCAAATTTCTCCTGCACTCCGCCCAATAAACACAAATCTCTTACTACTTCTTCATCTGATTGTGCAACCCTCCACAGACGTCTCAACTGGATAGACGGCACCAGTCTCTCTAAACACACGATACCTAAGCCTCCATCTCGTATCTGAGAATATAATAAACTATTGGTGGTGCACCTTGGAAGGTGCAACCATCTTTTCACGAATCCCCGAATTAAATCATCAATCGGGCTCAGGCTTGATGAATGACGCATCCGCCTGGTCAGCCAGATATAGTAGCCTAGGCAGGATATATAGGGTGAGGAGGTCGATTTTTCGCGCCGGCTTAAGAGGTGCCCAGTCGATCTTCATCAACCAGGAATCCAATTTACTCAGTGTCTTGATCTTACAGACTCCCCTCCACGGGTCCAGGTCGGCTCCCAGATCCTGCCCCTCACTGCCAGGTGGGATCGTATGGAGCCTCTCTCCTCCCACTGACCATTCTTCACAATTATTAACCACATAAGAACCTTTACTAGGTGCTATAAAAAGCCCATGACATTTCTCCGCCTGCACCTTCAAACCAGAGAGAGCACAGAATGTTTCTACCACTTTCAGGAACTGGGCCATATGGGCCCAATCCTTACTTAATATCGCCAGATCATCTGCAAACGCCAGGACGGAAATCCTCTTATTCCTACCTCGAAACCCCCATCTAAATTCTCCAACTCCGAAATCAGTGGATCCATCGCGATATTAAATAATAACGGGGACAAAGGAATCCCCCTCTTTCACCCCTGACTTGAACAAAATAGGTTTTCAAGGCAAGAGACAAACAGAGACGGTTTGCCATTGCCTGCTCCTGCGCAACAGTCCTGGGACTTCCTTGGTGGTCTCCCATCCACATACAAATCAAGGCTTAGCTTCCAAGATCTGTTCGAGATCAGCAAGCTAGAGGTACTACAGATCAGTTCAACCGGCATTCTCAACACGCCAGCAAGGATTCATCCCCATATCAGGGCAGCACATTTTAATTCTGTCCTTCCCCCTCAGACCTCAGGGAGGTCTACAAAGTTCTGTCCCACTTTTATTGTCAAAACCTCCCCCATTAGGCAGATTAGGCTGAATGGGTCTGACTGGCCCAAGATCACCCAGTGAGCTTTGTGGCCAAGTGTGGATTCGTACTGGGGCCCTCGTCTGATGCTCAGACCACTAGCCCCGGCTGACTATCACTGACTTTGAGGAAAAGCCCTGTTCTTAGGGAAGTGCCCATGGGCTTGTCACATACTTCAAGGACAGGCTTGGGCTCGAAACGTGGCATGCTGTGGACGAAGACGCCAGCCCCCTGGCTCCATGGTGCAAAAACACTGCTCCATGCGGATTTTGCCCAGCCGGTGTCAGAAGAGTTCCAAATCAGGTCCTTGGGGGTTAGATCAAGCCAGTACCTAGGGAACAGGAAGCAGATGTATGTTGCTGTTAACTGGGGTGAAGATTGATTCAGGTGGGTAGCTGTGTTGGTCTGAAGCAGCAGAACAAAGTTTGAGTCCAGTGGCAGCTTTAAGACCCACAAAGTTTTATTCTGGGCGTAAGCTTTCATGCGCACATACTGTGCATGCACACAAAAGCTTATATCCAGAATAAAACTTTGTTGATCTCAACGGTGAATAAAACTTAAAGGTGCCACTGGACTCAAAACTTGTTCTGCTGTAAAGGTTGCAGGATTTGTCACGTAGGACGAGGCTCAAAACTTGAAATTGCTGACTTGCAAAACATCGAACACACAAAGGTATTTTTATACCAAGCCATGGGCGGAAGATGAGTGCTGAAGTTGACAGTATACCAGAAAGCTTTCTGTTGCACTGTGCCTCAAGAATTTTAAAAATGTACAGGATGTGTAATTCCTTCAGAGAAGCCCCATTGATGGGGCTACCACCAACATGAAACAGCTTTGAGATCAGGGCAGGGTTTGGATGCAGAACTTGAGGGCTGAGCGGCTGAGCCTAGAGTCTCTAGAGTAACAAATAAACTGTCAGCTATGCTGCCATGATGTTTATGGGTGAGAGTGCTATTGGGTATTGTAAATAAGAAGCTGGAGACTGACCAGTTATGAAAGTGCACAGAGAGTTTATAAAGTTATAAAGGTGAATATATACAGAGATATATACAGGCTATAGAACAGCATGCCGTGCCTTAGTCTATGAGAACTAAGTCCCCCCTAGCTTACCAAGCTGATAGCTATTATGCTGAACCCCAGCCAATCTCTAACAAGGTGACGTAATCACTATAACAAGACTTGAAAGAGTAACACCTGTTAGAAACACCTGTCTGCAATTACATGGTTACTAGCCTGACAGCTAGACTTGACAGACAGATCAAACTGATCTATAGTAACTGCTTGCTACCTCTATCAGACATATATCTCAATAAGTGCAGCTGCTTGACCTGTGTACCAACTGATGCCACATTCCTTTGTCCTTGCTTATCTATGACCTTCCTAGCTAGCTGTGTGCGTAGTGTCTCCCCATCTATTACCCATGGGATAGGTTTCGATTCCCAGCTTTGGCTGTAACGGCCTGGGGCCCCATTCTCCCGCGTGCAGGAGTCAGGCCGATTGGCCTAGGAGTGGGGGTGTGTGCATACGAATACCCTATATCCCTTTATGCTTGTAGGAAAGTAGCCATTCCTAACAGTGACTATGTTACTGCCTCCATAGCTCTTGCAATACAGTATAACCTTATGTTAAGCGTGTACTCCTTTGTTTGGCTGTGGAACCCGACATTCTGTTAGGAATCTCACCTTCTCTACCTACGTGTCTCGCCACCTGAGATGAGCGACGAAGAGGAGAAACCTCCAACAACGACTGGGGGGGAAACCCCCACCACCCAGACCACACCACCGGTGACTACCCCGTGGAAGGAAACGGGGCTGGGAACCGTACCTAAAACGACCTCGACCTACCTTTTCCTGACCCCCTGCGGACCGAGGCAACTGCCCGGGCAGGGGTATCGACTGAATTCGTTAAGGTGGGGCCACTTTAATCCAGACTCAATGACGGAAACGTGCGCACTCACACAGGAGCCCCAAAGGGACAGCCGGTTTGATGTGGGCTTTGCATCTATGCTCCACGGGGCCCCCGGAGCCGCAGGGGGCTTCCCCTCGTTAGGGGGAGTCCTGGAACCGCTGCTCGGGCCCTGGGTGACAGACCGCTCCAGGGCACGAAGTGGGCGCTCTTCCCCAGACGAGGGACTGGAATTGGCCCATCGCCTGGAGGCGGTGGAAAGGGACAGGCGCCAACTGAGACGGGAACTTGAGGAAGTAATCCAAGCGATCCCAGAGATGGTGCTGCAAGCTATAAAGGCCAAGAGTCCTTCAGGTGTTGACACCATTGTGCAGCATCCCCCATCCCCAAGTCAATGGGTCCCTCCAAGAATGGTACCGGGGGGGCTTTCATAACCATACAACGCTTTAAAAGGGGACATTCCTGTAGACGAATGATACGTGTTGTTATAACAAAACTCGGCAAGGGGTAGGAGATCCGCCCAATCATCTTGTTGATAGTTAGTGAAGCAGCGCATATATTGTTCCAAAGTTTGATTTACACGTTCCGTCTGTCCATCAGTCTTGGGATGATAAGCACTGCTTAATGCAGGTTCAGTTCCCATAAGTTTTATAAGCTCCCCCCAAAATCGGGAAACGAACTGGGGCCCCCTATTGGAGATGACTTTAGCTGGGAGCATGTGGAGATTGACCACGTGGTGCAAGGAAGCCTTTGCCAGCGCTTTTGCCATGGGTAGGGAGGCGAATGGGACAAAATGTGCTTGCTTAGAGAATAAGTCCACAACCACCCAAATGACCGACACAGTCTTACTCAGGGGTAAATCCGTGATAAAGTCCATGGAGATCGCCTCCCACGGCCTACTTGGAGTTGGGAGAGGTTGCAACAATCCGGGGGGTTTCCCCGGTCTGGACTTGCACATGCCGCAAGTCTGGCACGATTTCACAAACGCTGACAAATCCTTTTGCATCTGCGGCCACCAAAGTTGTGTTTGCAGCAGCTGCAGGGATTTAACAAACCCAGGGTGACCGGCCAATTTTGATCCATGTACCGCGTTCAATACTTCCCCCCGTAGGGAATGTGAAACAGTTTGTTGCCGCGGTACCAACACCCATCGGGTTTGACTTCCAACCCCCCTTTTGCTTCCACCTCCGCCTCGTCGCCCTCCGAGAAGGCGGCGATATACCTACTGTTCCAATGGTTCCCGCTGGGAGTGGCAGGGGGGTGGATAGCAGGGTCAGGTTGCGAAGCAGGTGGGGAGGGCCTGGAATGGCTTCGCGTAGTCACTGCCCCGCCGAATTGAGAGAGCATAAACATAGAATCCAGAATCACCTCCCATTGGCTGTCGTGCTGCGGGAGGCGGGACAGGGCATCAGCGAGGGAGTTCGCAGAACCGGGGAAATGATGAAGGGTGAATTGAAACTTGGAAAAGAAATCAGCCCACCGGAGCTGCTTGGCATAGAGGCTCCGAGGTGTTTTAAGCATTTTCAAGTTTTTGTGATCAGTCCACACCTCAAACAGGACTCGGGCCCCCTCCAACCAGTGCCTCCAGGTAGCGAGCGCAAACCGGATCGTCCCCACCTCCTTTTCCCAAACCGACCAGTTCTGCTCAGTGTCATTAAACTTTCTGGAAATGTAAGCGAGGGGGTGCAGTAACCCGTCAGCCCCCTCTTGCAAGATCGCCCCCCATAGCTATGTTAGAGGCGTCGACTTGAACAATGTGTTTTTTATTTTCATCGGGGGGGGCTAATACGGGTTCAGGTGTGAACAGGGATTTAAGGGGGTCAAAAGCCTCCTGGCACTCTTTGCTCCAAGTAAGCGCCGCCCCTGGCTTGGTAGCCTCCGGACCCTTCCCTTTCGTTTTTAACAAGTCAGTGAGGGGCAAACTGATTTGAGCAAAATTGGGTAGGAAATTTCGGTAAAAATTTGCGAAACCGAGGAAGGCTTATAATTGGCGGCGGGTGCGGAGGGTCTCCCATCCAGCACATTGCAGACCTTCCCTGGGTCCATTTCCAAACCCTTATCCGATACCCCAGGAAGTCAACGTGTGACTTATGAAACTCACATTTGGAAAGTTTCGTGAACAGTTTGTGCTTGTGCAATGTCATCAGAACTTCCCTCACCAACTTCACGTGAGAGGGGAGGTCGGGGGAATACAGCAAAATATTATCTAGGTAAATAAGGGCCCCCTTAAACAGGTGCTTGTGGAATACTTCGTTAATCAAGTTCATGAAGACCCCCAGAGCCCCCTGAAGACCAAATGGCATCACGCGGTATTCGAACTTGCCGAGGGGCGTAGTAAAGGCAGTCTTGTGTTCGTCCCCCTCCCGGATGCGAACCCGAAAGTAGGCATCTCGGAGGTCTAGTTTTGAAAAGACCTTCCCTTTAGCCGCCTCAGCTAGTAAATCCTTGATGAGGGGCATGGGGTAGGCATTAGTCGATGACACAGCATTTAACCCCCGATAATTCGTGCACAACCGTAAGCCCCCGTCCTTTTTCCGGAACAGCACTGGGGCAGCAAATGGGGAGGAGGCTGGTCGGATGAAACCCCTTGCCAGGTTCTTGTCGATAAACTTATGCAGTTCATCCTTTTCTGCCGGCCCCATCGCATAAATGCGCCCCTTAGGTAATTTGTGACCCGGCAGTAACTCGATACTACAGTCTGAATGTCTATGGGGGGGAGCTCATCAGCTTCTTCTTCTTCAAAAACCCTAGCCAAGTCCCAGTATTCGGGGAGAATGGATTGTAATTCCTCTTGGGCCAAACACGCCCTAGGGTTTTCCAGGACCGGTTGGGGCCCCCATTGCGTGTTCCAGCGGTGCTCTTGGCACCGAGGGGAGATGAACTGTACTTTCCCTTCATCCCACAAAATGTAACGGTCATGTCCATGCAGCCAGGGGCTCTCTAACACCAGCGGGTGTTACTGTGCTTTTCAGTATGATTTGTAAGCTGCCTTGAGTCACAGGGGAAAGTGGGATATAAATATTTAAATAAATAAGCAGTTTGGGCAGGTTGATAACATTTAAGCAACTTCCTGTTTGTTAGGTTAGGCAGGGTTTTGACAGTGATTGTTCCACCTCTGTTATACTTGACCTGTAATTTCTCATATTTCACTAAAAAACAAACAAACCCAAAGTAGACGGCAAGTGTTTCCCCTTCCCTCTGTTCTCTGAAGGCCAGGTCTACCAATATAGTGGAAAGGGGTGGGTCAGTAGACCTGTTCTCCAGAGGCCTCGTCTACCCCCATAGAGGACAACCTTTTCTGTAATGAAATTTGACGATTCTGTCTTCTCTTATAATTAAATCATTCTTAAAATGTAGTTTAAAAGAATATGCAAAAGTCAAATGTAGACTCACTCAAATCTGTAATGCTACTAGGGTTTTTTGCTTACGAGGTAGAATTTTTGCTCACAGTGCTGTGGAGCTTAGAGGAAACATTGATCAGGACATAAGAAGCTAGAAAACACCGCACACACCCAGAGTACCATGCCTTGCCTACCTGCCGTTGAGAGCAAGTCCAATTCCCTGGCTGCTGTGGGAATGCTCAGCCATTTTGGGAGCACCTGTTGTGCCGCTGGTGAAGTAGATCGCCATTGGCTCACAGCTCTTGGTGGCCACACACTTGTGGTCGGCAGGTGCAAGGCTGCAGGACATAGAGATGCGCGAGATAAAAGCATGTGCGTTCATAAAGCAGTGGTAATAATGGTGATGACTTCACGAGACCCCCCCTACTTCTAGATTGCATGCAGTGTAGCGGCCGGAATGCTGTACTTGAAGTTGGGCGGCCTGGCGTCAGAGCTCACTTCATCTTGACATCCCGTGGGCAGCCTTAGCCCAGCCACTCTCTCTTAGCATAACCTACCCTGCAGGGTTGCTGTGAGACTAAAATGGAGGAGGAGAGAACCATGTACATTGTCCTGTATTCCTTGGAGAAAGGGTGGGATGAAAAGTTGCTTACACAGTTCATGAGAAATTGTTATTAAGGCGGAATAGGTATTAGTATAAATATTGGTAGAATTAAGAATAACCTCCATGTATTTGTTTGTATGTTAGTATATGTATGTATAGGTTATGATTGTTTATGTATGTTATGTGGAAAATGTAATAAAATCCTGCCCCTTTGGAGGGCAGTTAAAAAAAAAGAGAGAGAAAGGGTGGGATGAAAATGTCATTTCATTCAAACTTTTCATTGTTGCAGTCTGCTCAGCCTGGTTCATACTCAGGGACTGCTGTAAAGCTGAGGGGATCACTCGGGTGCACAGAAATGCGATTCCCCTGTCCTTTTGGTGCATGGTCCTTTCCCATCCTGCCTACATCCGGCCAAGGCAAATGTCCTGTTTTTGTTTGTTTCTGTTACACCACAAGCCATTTACAGGCAACGGATGAAAAAACAGCCAACAATTTTAAACGGCAGTTCTTCTATCAAATGTTGTTAATGTGTTTGGGGAAAAGGACAACTACAGTTTTGTCCTGAGTGTTCACAGACAGTGAAAGAAATGTCCCCAAAGAAGGGAACATTGTTAGAGAGCCACATCTTTGGTTGGGCGCAAGCAGGAAGATGTTGCCTAGCTGCAGTAGCCAGCAAATTCTGAACACCATCTCCCAGGAGAAGCATCCCATGTCGCCAGGATGAAAAGCTGGTACGTACTTCAACAAGTCACAGAAACTGAGCCAGCCATCCCGGTGGTCCCTTGACACTATTAGCTTGGATGCTAGAGACGGGCATTTGGAAGCTACACTGTCTACAGCTGGGGCCAAAACTCCATCAGTGATAATGCACTTGGCTCGGGATGCCTGCAGTCGGTGCAGAATGTCTTTTGCAGTCAGCTGCGTCGTCCCGGGAATAAGAACGGTTCCTAATAGAGAGAGAGAGAGCAAATTGGGAAGATAAGGTGTTCCTTGCTTCCAGGTTTTGGAGGGAGCAGCTACAGAATTTAGAAGGCAGTCCTGAGCAGAGTCCTGAGGAGCTGTGGTGGCTTAAGTGGTTAAGACGCTGAACTGCAGGCTGTGGAAGGTCGGTAGTTCAGCAGTTCGAGACCCGAGTGTGCCGCATGACGGAGTGAGCTCCCGTCTATAGTTCCAGCTCCTGCCAACCTAGCAGTTCGAAAGCAAGACATTGCAAGTAGATAAATAGGTACCACTTTGGTGGGAAGGTAACAGCGTTCCATGCGCCTTGGTGTTTAGTCATGCCGGCCACATGACCACGGAAATGTCTTCGGACAGCGCTGGCTCTTCGGCTTGGAAACGGAGATGAGCACCGCAACCCTAGAGTCGGCTTCGACTGGCTTTCGAGCAAGGGAACCTTTACCTTTACCTGAGCAGACGGTATCTTTCTCCCATATTCACAGTCAGAGTGATCCTCTTTCCCCCTCTCCCAGACACAGAATACATGAGTGGAGCAGCCCTGGGCTCAGCGGCAGAGCATCAGTTTTGCATGCAGATAGTCCCAGGTTCAATCCCTGGCATCTTAACTTAAGAGGATTCAGGTAGAAAGCTGTGTTGGTCTGAAGCAACAGAACAAAGCTTGAGACCAGTGGTCCCTTTAAGACCAACAAAGTTTAATTCTGGGCAGAAGCTTTTGTGTGTATCTGAAGAAGTGTGTGCCTGCACACGAAAGTTTATACCCAGAATAAAAGTTTCCTGGTCTTAAAGATGCCACTGGACTCAAAAAAACCTATCAGGTAGTTGGTGATGAAAGAGGCCTCTGCTGGAGACCCCAGAGAGCGGCTGCTAGCTGGAGTCGGCAACTTGACCATGACGGACAGTGGGCTGGCTGAGTATAAGGCAGCCTCGGTGGGGCCCCATGATCTTCCTTTCCAAGTGACACCTGGCTCAGTAAACAAAGGTCGTTCTGGCTCACCTGTTCGCATACAAGCCACATTCAAGAGCCACCACGCGGGTATCCGCGGCAGGATCACTATAACGCGGTCTCCCTTCCGCAGGCCACATTGCTCAGAAAGCACATTGGCCGCTTTCTTGGATCCAGCCACCAGCTCCTCAAAACTCCACCTCACTTCCTCTCCTCGGTCACCGACCCACCAGAGAGCTGGACTGGAGGGCCCTCTTCCCTCCTGGTGGGATAACAAGAGTGCAGTGTCAGTCCTCGAGATCGGGACCTTGAAGGCACTTGCAGTGGCACACACTGACTTCCCTGGATCAAGGCAGACGCTTTCCAGACTAAATGGTAGGGATGTGCTTTCATTCCCTAACCACCCCCTGAGACAAAGTGGGGAACTGAAAAAGACGCATTTATTGCATTATGTGTTGTAAACAGAAACATGAACCAATTACATTTCCCCCCCCCCATTGCCTAGCAATCTGGTTGAATGGGAGGGTTTTTTTGGGGGGGTGGAGACGGGAGAGCAATAGTTCTGAAACGGACACCTAAGCTTTCCAACCAGTACGGGCAAACTACTCTTGCAACAGATCGACTTCTGGTGAAGTCCAGCGGGAGGCCAGGGGAGAGAGAGAGGCAGAAGAGCACAGCAGATGAGAAACAGACAGCACAGCCTTCCTGTTGGACTAAAGGAAAATGAGCAATAGAAATAAATCAAGATGATAATCTAACAAAACGGGAAAAGGGAACTTCCCTAGGAGGTGGGCCTTTGGTCTTTACTCCGCGTAGCCCCCCAGGGCTCTTCCTGTGGACTTATGTTGCTCGTGAAATCTCCAGACCATCCCTCCTTTGCAAAGGCGCAGGTACTCGGTGCTGCTTCTGGCCAAGTCTACTCCTTGTTTTCCCTCCAGTCACAGACACTGTGAAATTCAAATCCCTGCCCACCATGCACGGTAGCCATCTGTTTTTAAAACTTGAAGTCAAGCTACCAAAACGATACCTTTTCCATCTCGGCCCACTTGTCCAGCACATCTTTCGCAAAGTTGAAGTATTCTGGCACTTCCGGCTTGTATTGCTCTCGTATGGATTCATAGTCTGAAAAATTCTGAGCTGCCAGTGCCGGGTGACATTGGCTGAAGACTCTAGCGGGAGCTCGGCCCAGAGCCCGCAGACCCATAATGGCCGGGGCCTTCCACAATATGGGCACAACAACGCAGGCCATAGTGGGGCCTTCCACTGTGTCCTCGGTTCAGGATGCTTTCCACAAATCACCTACCTAAAAGGCACAAAGGAAATAGCCACGTGGTTAAAAGGATGCTGAAAAGCTTGGTATTCCTCCAGATACTAGGCATTGTTGCATCCTTTTAAAAAAGTCCTCCCTTCCATCTCAGGATTCTACCACTTTGTTCTGCTCCATGCACAGGCCTGCCCTGATACTCCCACCTGTGCCCATTATTACAGCTGTCTAACATTTAAGGCTACCCAAGACGCAGCTGCAGAGTCAGGGTGGTCCCATGGACAGTTACAGCCTTGGGCCTGAGTTCAAAAATCTCACCTTAGCCTCAGAAAAGTCCCTCTATCTCAGCCTCTGTTGGAGGCTTTAATGATACAGCGTTTAGAACGTACTCCCCTACTATATAAAATTAAGTACAAAGGTATTTTGAAAAGGATTTTTTTTTAACCAAGAAGTCACTCGGGTTGAGGTATTTATTCAGAAGGTATGACCCCTGAAGCGGTGGCTCAAGCGGTTAAGACGCTGAACTGCAGGCTGTGGAAGGTCAGTAGTTCAGCAGTTCAAGACCCGAGTGTGCCGTGTGATGGAGTGAGCTCCCGTCTCTAGTTCCAGCTCCTGCCAACCTAGCAGTTCGAAAGCAAGAAATTGCAAGTAGATAAATAGGTACCACTTTGGTGGGAAGGGAACAGCGTTCCGTGCGCCTTGGTTTAGTCATGCCGGCCACATGATCACGGAAACGTCTTCGGACAGCGCTGGCTCTTCGGCTTTGAAACGGAGATGAGCACCGCAACCCTAGAATCGGATTCGACTGGCTTTCGAGCAAGGGAACCTTTACCTTTTACCTTTATGACCCCTGACATTCCTTCAAAGCAACATTCTTGGTTTTCCCCCCAAGAGATAACAAACCAGGCTGAAAGAGGGCCAATCAGGCAAACGCCAGCTGTCCCTGACGATAACAAAACCAGCCATTCTGGTTCTGTTAAAAGGCAGTGTTTGAGACAGGGGGCTAATTACCAAAGCCCAAAACAAAAGCCCATCTTGCTCCGCAGGGCTGCCCACCCCACCACAAGAAAAGCTCAGACTAGAAAAGGTGGTGGTGGGGGTTCGACAGCACCCCAAAATGTCTTCTCTCTCCTATGGAGTCAGTCTTAACTACAGGGTGGCTGCCGGCCTCCACAGGAAGATGTTGAAAACTAAAGCATCAGAATAAGCACCCCCCTAAAACAATAGTAACCCTCTGAAACTCATCTGTGAAGCATATTTTTACTCCTGCTGCAAGGAATGAGAGAGAGGTTGATGGTCACGACTACTTCAGGTCTTCAGCTGAGTCACGTATCGGACTGGAATGGTTTTGCTGACAGTGCCTTCTGAGTCCCAGCTGTACCCAGATAACAGCCCCCAGCGAGTCCCTCTCAACTAATGACTGAAGTGAAACTGCCAAACGGAAATGACTGTGACGTTCATTTTAATTTTAACTGTTGAATTAAAAGTAAGAAACTAGGTAAGATTATTCGGTGGGGCTTCCATTGACTCTGCTAGGGCATGCCATAAAATTAATTCTCTGGCATTATTAATATGAGGACTACCACGTTTCCCCCCTGCTCTAAGCCTTTTAGGGGACTTGGATATTCCATCTGGCGTCAGAGAGATCAACAAGTGGTTTTTATACTTTCGACTGGAGGCTTCTCTTCTCTTTCTTGGAGAAGGCCTCTGGTGCAACCCGATACCAAGCTTCAGCCAGCACCACTTTACCTATTGGAACCAGCTGAGCATTCTACACTGGAGGCAGGGGTCGTTTCGTAGAAAAAGAGCTAGGGGAACTCATTAGCATAACTCATTAGCATATGCCACACCCCCTGACATCACCGGAAGTGTGTCATAAGGCCACACACCCTGACATCACCAGAAGTGTGTCATAAGGCCACACACCCCACCCCCAACGGTCCCGGCCGCCGCCGCCGGCCTTGCAGCTCCACTGCTAAGCCCCATGAGGGGCCCGGCGGTGGACCTGCAAGGCCGGCGGGAGTGCAAGGAAGCCCCGCGAAGGCCCTCCCTGGCCCCAGGCAGGCAGGGGTGGGGAGAGGCAGGGAGGAAGCAACTTACCCTCCCTCTTCTCCTGCCTCCTCCTGGCTGAATGAGGGTTGGAAGCGGGACGGACGGAAGCAGGGGCCGGGGCTTCGTCATGTGCCCCGCCCCCCGTACCTCACCTGGGGGAACTGCGATCCCCCGCGATCTCCCCCGAAATGACCTCTGACTGGAGGCAAACAGGAGACTTCAAGCTCAGGGTCAAGGCATGTAACATCTTTTTCCCACCGGTCCTTGATGAAGAATTCTGGGGAACTATAAAGCTTGCACAGTATCTCGTGTAGTGGTGGCTGGTCTGAATGAAAGGTATTACCTGTTTAGTATTGGATTGGATGTCAGCCCTAGTTTGATAATGCATATGTAACCCACTAAGGTCCTAATATCTGCAGGGAGAGTGGGCAGGTTCAGTCGGTT